CTCGTGGGGTCAGTCGGTGGTTGGAAATACGTAACACCTGTCCCAGTCATCTCAACTGATGAAGTTTCACCACTTCATCAGTGGATCTGTCATCCTTACCTAATACCCGTTTCCTAACAACTGCATTACTTACTCGATGGTCCCAGGATATACGAGCAATGTTTCGAACACACCTATGATCAAATACTAGTAACTAATAATTGGATTAGGGATGAATCATGGAAACTGAAAAATAAAACTAATGAATGATAACTTCATCAATTAAGAATAATCAATATATTGTGAAACCTCATGATAATAAGTTTAGAGTAGTCTTAACTGGAGATTAAACAATAGTCCAGTGTTTCATAAGCGCCATCAGTTATCCAAAGACTATTGTCAATTGAAAAGTATTCGCTTCGAATTACGTAATAACAGTTTTGATTCATTTCTATGAATAAACTTACAAAATATTTCATTTAATTCCTGTTCAAAACTTACTCAAGATTCCTATCCATAATTTGAATAATTTAATGATATTTTCCAATAGTTGGTGGATTGTAATCAGTTTAATAAAAGTCAAGTAGGATCCATTGAAGTTTATACCTTTAGATTTATCAAACTGGAGTTTCACAGTTCAATTTTGTAAATCTTATTAATGTATACCGTTTGGATAAGTGTAATTGAGGAGTCGTTTAGTGAATAAAACTCATAGGATCCAAATATTAGGTCACAAGTACGAATTTAACTCCATTTAATTCAATCCAACTAATCTGGTATTTTTACTATCACTCACATCTATACACTGTCCAATGATAGGTGTGTTAAAGTCAATTTGTTAAGTAAGTGTTTGAACTTCATTACATCCCTTTTATTCCCATTTGAAGAAGCATTAGTCATAAGGCTATCCGTATATTCAAACTGAAAATCATTAGTGCGTTTTTACTCTCTATCTTAGTTACAGATATATTCATTAGTAAAAAGATTTTGTGGAGATAGTTGAATTTCCGTAATTTACATCACTTATTTATCATTGATATAAAAATACTGAAAACCATAAAGCACCGGATATAAGTTCCATCCTATTGTGAGACTCCCCAGCAGTACCCACTCAAGAACATCTAGAGGATCAAACACTGAAACTTCAGGACTAGTAGCGAACATTCAGTCGTCATATCGATGAATTGGTATCTGGTAGCTTACATGTCAAACTTTAATCAAGTAACTATAATGGTCACTAGTATCTGATTTAGAGAGATGGTTTTCACAAATGTCGTGCAAAGTCGTGAATAATGGGGTTCAACCATGCTGGACGTGGAAGAATGTCTGCACTATCGACTGGAGTTGAAAATATAAATTATTGGATTCTAACTTGGTGGTAAGAAGTTTAAGCGCTCATTGTAAGACCTAGAGACTCTGGATTTATAAACCGACAGGATCGTGGATGAGCACTATTAAGGAGTCTTACACAAAGATACAATAAATGCCTAATTCCTCTCACTTTCTAATGATTATATAACTAAGGTTCGTCGATGACGAAAAGTACAGAATTCATTCACGTTGAGGTTTCCTACATTCATGCATTTCATTTCACATGAAACTGATTTAATTTTGAAGATTATTTATTTTATATTTTGATAAGTCAGTTTACGCCTTTTGAAATTTGAAATTATGAAATACTAAGCACTAGTTTTGATGAAGTTTTGTTCTCTGAGCTGGATGGTTTGGTCGTGGAGCTTTCATCGTTCTTCTGAACGACATCATCAGCACAAACTTCAGATAGAAGTGAAGTGTTCGAATTTCTCCACATGTGTTTCACAGAGTGTCCTGTACAACTCGATGTTGTTTAGTTCTTGTTGACCTTAAACTTGTAATTTTTTACTTTGTTTTGGTTGCATCTCCCATTGGTTTGATTTTTGTTCCTGTTTGTGCATAATTCTCCTGATTGGTTGATAAATTGGACTGATTTCAGTGTGCTTGTTTATTGCTGATTGACCTGATTGCCAAGCTTCTAAAAATTCTCTAATGTTTTTGGAATTGCCTCTATTCAAAATCAATCAGTCGAATAACAACGGAAACGAGGAGATACAACTTGGCACTACTTGGAATCAGTGAAACCCATTGGACCCAAGCTGGATAGCAAAGGCTAGATACGGGCGTAATGCTGCTGTACGCCGGCCACGAAGAGGGAAATGCTCCGCACGCTCAGGGAGTTGCTCTAATTCTGTCCAAAGAAGCACGAAATGCACTTGTAGAATGGGAATCTCACGGATCCAGAATAATCAAAGCATCATTCGAAATAAAGAAATAGGGGTTCACAACCAATGTTATCCAATCTTATGCACCCACCAATGATAGCAGTGAAGACGATAAAGACAAGCGAAGTGCCCAAGAAAGGACCTAACCATCCTGATGGGAGATCCAAACGCCAAAGCCTCAATGGACAACAACGGTTATGAGGATATTATGGGACAACATGGGCTAACTGGGAGAAAGGAACGATAATGGGGAGAGATTTGCAAATTTATGTTCATTCACTCAAAATGGTTACAGGCGGCACAATGTTACCCCACAAACTCATGCACAAAGCTACATGGATCTCACCAAGATCATACTGCACAGAACCAGACTGACCATATTTGCATCACCAAGTTCAGAAGGTCAATGGAAGACGTGAGAATCAAGAGTGGAGCTGACATGGATTCAGATCACCACTAGATGGTGGTCATCAAGATGAAATAGAATCTACAGAAGCACTGGACAACAGGACAAACAGCACTACAAAGGTTCAGTACAGCCTTCCTTCAACATACTGACAAACTGAACGAATTCAGGATAACTCTCAACAACAGGTCCCAAGTCTTACAGGATTTTCTGAATGAAGAATAAACTACTATGGAGATTAACTGGAAACTGATCAACAAAGCATTAACTTCAACGTGTCAGGGGGTTCTGGGCCACAATAAGCAACATCATAAGGAATGGATCTCTATAGAAACATTGGACAAGATCAAAGAAAGGAAGAACGAGAAGACAGCAATTAACAACAGTCAAACATGAGTAGAGAAAGTTCAAGCACAAGCTGATTACACAGAAGCAAACAAGCAAGTGAAGAAGAGTATTAAAGCCGAAAAGCAGATATACGTAGAAGACCCAGTAACGACAGTAGAAAAAGCTGCGAGAGGAGGAAATATCAAACAACTATTTGACACGACGAAGAAACTGGTAGGGAAATACAGTAAACCAGAGAGATCGGTCAAGGACAAAGAACGCAAGCCCATCACTGAGATTCAAGAACAGAGGAACAGATGGGTGGAACACTTAGACGAACTCTTGAGTAGACCAGCCCTATCGAATCCACCAGATATCGAAGCAGCACCTACAGATCTTCCTATAGATGTCACTCAACCAACGATTGAAGAAATCAGGATGGCCATAGGATAAATGAAGATTGGGAAAGCAGCGGCACTTGACAATATACTAACCGTGGCACTAAAGTCAGACATAGAAGTAACTGTAAGTACTCTTCACGTTCTATTCAGGGAGCTTTGGGAGGAGTAACAAGTGCTGATAGACCGGAAAGAAGGATAGCTCATCAAGATACCAAAGGAAGGAGATCTGAGCAAACATGAGAACTACAGAGGCATCACACTACTATCAGTACCAGAAAACGTTTTCAACAGTGTTGCTGAACCGAATGAAAGACGCAGTAGATGCCCAGCTTTGAGGCCAACAGGATGGATTCCGTAAGGATCGGTCGCGCACAGACCAAATCGCGACACTACGGAACATCGTTAAACAATCAGTTGGGTGGGACTTTTCACTATACATCAATTTCATTGACTATGAGAAGGCGTTTGATAATGTTGTTAGGAGAACACTGTGGAAGCGTCTACGAAACTGCGGAGTGGGTAGATGAAAAAATCGTCAACATTATCCGGAATTCATACAATGGACTACATTGCAAATTCGTGCATAGAGGACAGATGACAGACTCATTTTAAGTAAGGACCAGAGTCAGACAATCTTGCTTACTCTCCCCCTTTCTCTTTCTTAGGGTGGTTGATTGGATTAGGAAGACCTCTATATCTGACGGGAAGCACGGAATACAATTGAAAGGTTGTATGCAACTAGACTATTTGGACTTCGCAGATCACCTAGCTCTTCTATACCATATACACGAACGGATGTAGGTCAAAACAACCAGTGTACCAACAACCTGTGAATCAGTTGGGCTCAACATACACAAGATTTACAAATACAACACGGAGAACACTAACCCAATCACACTTGATGAAGAAACTCTGGAAGAGGAGGAATCATCCACGTACCTGGACAGTATCAAGGACAGCATTCCTTTAGTTAAAGAACATGTGGAACTCAAAACAACTGTCAACCAACATCAAAGTTAGAATCTTCAATACGAACGTCAAGACAGTTCTAATGTACGGAGCTGAAACGCGAAGAACTACTACAACCATCGTCGAAGAGGTACAAGTATTTATAATTAGTTGTCTACGCAAGATACTCATTGTCTGATAACAGGATGGCATCAGTAACAGCCTACTGTGAGAGAAAACAACCCAGCTTTCAGATGAAGAGGAAATTAAGAAAAGACGTTAGAAGTGGATAGAACACATATTGGAAACCATCAAACTGCATAACAAGGTAAGCACTAACTTGTAATCCCGAAGGGAAGCAAAGAAGTGGAAGGCTAAATAACATACTACGTGGGGAATTGGAAGCAGATATAAAAAGTGTTGTGAATTTTGAACTTGGATCACTTTTTACCCCGTGCCAGTTGTTGTGTCCTTGACTGCAGATTAGAGAGCAGCGTATTTATCGACCGATTCAATGACACGTAAACACGTACGGACGGCCTAGAGTCTCGATTGGTCCCGCTTCTCTGTCTAGCCCCGCCAGTTGAGTCTAGAACGCGAGTCTTAGCCTCGGAGATATGAATCATTATATTTCAGATATACTCTATTTATATACCAACCAACCAGACCACATCGTACCATAAAATAGAAAACAACATTTGTACAATATTAAAAAGTGAAATAAATATCGACCAATAGGAAATGTCCATTTAACGTCCAGGGACACCATTAGACTTAACACGATAGTTATTGGTATATTCCTCTGCATCCCTAACAAAAAGGATGAATTACAACTGGAAAGGGCTGCCTAGGACAGGGTTGGTTGGAGAATGCTTGGGGTGGACTATTCTTTTCCACGAGGGATAACAGGTTTAAGCAAGTATGTATACCAATGTTAGTGATTTCGCTGCCAATGATCAGTGGTGTTCATAGAAAATCAAAAATGGCAGCCTATTATGTAAAGTAGTTTTCAGTTGCTCACTTTGTATATTATTTGACCGTCACAGTCGATGGAGATTCACAACCTCACCAACTGATTTACCATCGTTCCCTAATACCTTGAGTCTAACTTCATTATTACTTACTCAGTGATCCCAACAGATGAGAGCAATATTTCTAAGGCATCTGTGTTCAAATACTAGTAACTAATGTTTCATTAATTTTTTTATACAGAAGAATGAGAACACCTATGACAATGAAATATACAATACTTCTTTTAATAATACTTCAAATGATATTTATTAAGTCGCAAGTCACGGAGTCTGAAGATAAATCAAAGAGTGAAAGTTCTAGATCTCGTAATTGTAAGTAATTTGTTACTTTCAGTCATTGATCAGTTGAATGACTTGATGTTTAGTTTTTTTTCTTCAAATTTCACAATCTAATCAACAAATTATAATAAAGTTCATATACTTTAGATGAGAACAGTAGAAAAATAACTGAACACTATTGATTTGAATTTGATCTTTATTAGTTTGTAGGCTAAGAAACAGTAATATTTAAGTGGATATATGATAATATTAGACTAATAATAATGAAATATTTTTTGATTGAGATCATGAATCGACTGATGTTAGACCACTATTGAAAACCTAGAAGCACTGGACAGCCGTTTCGTCCTACCATGGGACTCCTCAACGGTGCGCATCCACAATCTCACATGCGGGATTAGAACCCAGGACCTTCGGTCTTGTATGCAAACGCTTAACCTATAGACCTCTAGAAGTCCTGGGTTCGAATCCCGTGTGCGGGATTGCAGATGCACACCACTGAGGAGTGCCATATTAAGACGAAACAGCTGTCCAGTTCTTTCAGGTTTTCAATGGTGATCTAACATCGATCGATTCATGAACTCAATCAAAAACTTAACAATCTACACAACCTCATATTAATAATAATGAAATGATTACATAACTAAATGTGACAGGTAAACAGTACAAATTGTTAGTGTGATATTAGATATTCTAGTTATGATAAGAATAATCAAAGCTAGAATCTACAGTTGATGATAAGAATGAGATTAAAGAGTTGAAAAAAAAGACAATGAAATATTAGTCACTAGCAGTTACGTAATGAGAAGTGCTCAAATAATTAGTGAGAAGCCATGATCAGTGGAGCTAATCTATGTCGGGTATAGAAAGGTATCTACCTCAGTACAACGGAAGTTGGTCGCGAAATTTCGTGGATTGGTTGATGTTAGACACTATCACCATTGGATGCCGGCTCAGTGGTCCAGTTGGTTAAGCGTTCACACGCGAGACCGAAGGCCCTGGGTTTGAATCCCGCGAGTGGGATCGTGGATGCGCACTGCTGAGGAGTCCCACAATAGGACGAAACGGCCGTCCAGTGCTTCTAGGTTTCCAAAGGTGGCCGTCTAACATCAATCGGTTCATAATCTCAATAAAAAAACTTAATAATCTCCACAACCCCTATACTAGTAATTAGATAGTGATGAATCTATCTAAAAAATGGTAGAAGAATAATGGACTAACCTTCTATCAATAACATTTGGACAGTACATATGCTAAATGACGACGTACATTGTACGAAGTAATATACAATTACTTGTGTGAATAAATCTAATATTACTTAGAAAGATTTGTATTGTCCTAGTGCTGATGTTAAGGATAGCAAATCATTAGTCTCGTTTGGTATATTTACATCATAAGTCGATTGTTATGATATAGTCACTTTATATAATAAATAAATTATGGCTAGAAATGAGATCAAGCGAGAATATTTTATTTCTATGTGAACATTGACACTGCGATGGAAGTCTATTCATCATTAGAGAAGTTTCTTAAAGGGCAAGTATAACTGTTGGCCAAAACTTATCTATTCTGTAAAGTTGAATAGTTCAGTTCGTATGTATGCTCTACTAAGATTCGATAACCAGTTATTCTTTAAAGGTTATTCATTATGTGAAAAAATATAATTACTTCGTGGTGAAGCATTAGTATTTACAATCTGAAATGTTGACTAAACACCGATAGTGAATAACTTATAATTATACTTGTTTATGGAAGTGTTTGTAACTTCCATTGCAAACACTACTTTTCCAGTAATGTTAAGGATTGGGGAATTGTGCATTTACGAGTTGCTATAAATACACGTCGACTAGCTCTACGTTACTTCAGCTAGACAACGTTAGAAACTATACTATTGATGCTAAGTATCATCAAGGTCTATTAAACACTACTGATGTTATAGCTCTTTGGTCTAACTGATACAAGTGCTAAATGCCATTTTCCGATTCCTCTCTTCGATAGTCGGTGGGAATGTTATAATCTTGATCTTGATCAATGAATCCATTTTCCTTCGTCAAAGTTTTCCAGATATTCCTAGTTCCAAATATATTGTATCAAAGTTCTCCTGATATGCCATGAAGAAATTGAAATCATGGATTGGTAACATTGCAGACACCTAAATACATCGGGAGGAAAATATCTGTTTATGATATCGGGAGTTATCTCACACTTGCTTTGGTCATGACTGCAATTATAATGATTTAGGTGCTCACCTTTTTGCTTGTTATTACGATTTGCTGTAGGTTTGATACTGGTTGGTTGAGGCTCTAAACCCAGCTAATCTGAAAAGTGAGATATTATGGAGTTTTTCAGCTGTTTACACTCATCAGGGTATTATTCTTAGACAACTGGAGATTAGATGCTACGAACATATATAATAACTAGTAAACGGTGTTAAAATTCGGTGTATTTACATACTCATTCTGATCCTCAGGTTAGAATGAAGATAGTTTACGAAGTTACAACTTTAGTCAACCTCTCTGTCCTAATAAGCGAAGGGTTCGGACAGACAATTGGAGATGTGAGCGCTCATCAGTCATTAAACGTTTTAAAAGGGTATTTGTTCACACACATCACATTCATGGAACTGGACACTATAACAATTTCTCTACCTGAATGTTGAGGTGAAAAACTTTACCCGCATCCATAAGAACCCTCAGAGGAATGAGTATCCACGCTAAAAATTAAGAATAAAATTTATCAGTAAAGTTTATTAACTCTCACATTAATTGTATTCTATTTTCTTTTCTTTTTTTAAAATTCTTATTCAAACAGTCTACTTGGGTGTAGTGATATTGGTTATATTTGGTGTCAGTTTATTGATCATAATTATTGTCGCAATTATTTGCTTTCGTAAACAGAAAATACCAATCATTGATCCAGTAACTGTTATTCAAGCTATGTAAACGATGTATTTCATAACAAACTTTCATATTTTTTGAAGAATGCTGTTATATACTGTTATTATTATTAAAACACTTTCCTTATTCCATCGTAACAATGACTTATCTGATATGTATATAATTCGTCTTACTTTGGTTAATCTGATTAGCTTTTTTTAGCAAGAGTTTCTTTTCTACAGGATGGGGTTGCCGACCCCATGCCTTACCCTCCTCTGTTAGCCAGGTATGGGACTGGTAGTAACTCAAGAAGAGCTACAGGCGGACTTCATCTAATGTCTATTACAAGATAAAATAATAAAAGAAGATAAATTGGAAATATTATAGATAAAATAAATTATTATTGTGAAGATATTTTGATACTTACCATTTTCTTCTTTACAGTGAACTCTTTGTTGAACCAATCTTTCTTACTTAATGGGTGCATTCTATTTACTTACTATTTTGTTAATCAGTATTATATGAGTAAATCTTTAAAAAAAGTATACATATATTTGAATTTCTATATTCTTGCATGTCTTCAAATGTATTTTTCGTTAATGAAATGAGAAGACGAAGATTAACAGAATTATGTAATATATTTGTGCATGTTAGATTTATCGAAGTGTCCAGGTCACTCAATTGAGATACGCGCAAGTTCGCAAAACAACGATTTGTCTACAATAGCGTTTCTTTATTGAATAATACATAAAATTAGTTACAAATCTCAACTTGTGAGGTGTCTGAGACGTTTGAACACGTCCTTTTGTATGAAATAAAAAAGCTTTGATAGTACAAAGGACAGCTGATAGCTGTGTCTAAATTTGACAACAGTTTATCAACAACCGAAACTTGAACCAAGAGCAAAACAATATGAAGACTGTTGCGTTTAAACAAATGCACAAAACTGTAGATAACCGCTACAGTGATTAAGGTAAATGAATTATACTGATAAATAGAATGATAAGTACAATAAACGTTATAGGTATAAGTAAATATTTCAGAATATTACACAACTTGCCTTACAACATAAGTTTAAAAATTGCTGGGAATACAACTGCTTATTTAATGTAAATAAGTAGTATAAAACAGTATACAAAAAACTGGAAGAGAACTGAGTAAGAACAATGTAAAACAGACTTAACAGTGCAGTACATTTCGTAAACAGAATACACTCATTGAGAATTTAAATAAGAAAGACTAGTTTAACAAAGAATTCTCTTTTCGGTGAATTCATTTTCAAAGCTGTACAATCGCATACATATATACTTGGTCTTTCAGGTCAACTAGACAGATTAAAGGTAAGCCGTAACAAGGATAATAATAAAGTACACAAAAACTATGTGATAACCACTCTGGATAATAAATTACTATTACCAAGGTAGGTTAAGGGTAAGAACAAATTAAATTCACTTGATATTGTTTACTTGAATTCAAACTATATCGAGTCAGTAAGCATAGTATACACATATGCCAATAAGAGATTAACCAATTGCAGTCCTAAACATCAATGGGAAGATTCACGTAAACAATACCAAGTGAATTTAAACTTCACCCCATTTCACAAGCAAGTGACTATGAGGACTAAGTAGTGGCGTAGATAACCTGATGGCGTTTGAATTGAACGGTACTTGATTCGTGTTTTGGAGTAAACATCAACTCTGAGATGCAGGTAAATTCAGCTGACGAGTCCCAAATAAGGAGAAACAAGCGTCCTGGATTCCACTGCTACCCACTATCCATCTTTGGTTGTATGAACAAATTGTTTTGGAACACATAAAGGGGGTTTCAGTTTCCGTATAGTCAAAGCTTCAATAAACCATTGTATACGCCCTTGAAGGCCTTTGTACAACACTACAAATGCTGACTTAATATCAACCTTATGACTAGTCTCAACCAAATGTTTCGCAATAGAGGAAGATGTTTGTCTATTCTGTGATCTTATTTAGCCATTGGAATTCATTTATTTCTGAAGCTATTTGGGTATATGTTCCGCCATCCCTACTGGTAGATCACGATTGCTTCTCCCTATGTGCATCTTTCCGCGTATGCATGTAAGTGATATCAAATGAATCTTATCTACATTTTGTTTAATTTCTCACTTATTGAATGAATATAATATAACAATTTGTGTAATGTTAACATGTATTCACCATATTTGAATAATTTGGGGTTGTTTTTCCTATATATTAGGTCGTAAATAATAATTCTATTTATTCATTGTGATTAAACTACATCTTTTGGTGTATCCTGCCATCGAATCTGTCTTCTCGTCTGGTTTTCAAGTGTTCTGTCAACACCGTGCTTTCGATTCACTGAAACTCATCATTATGTTTGACAATTATTGTTGACGCAACGTTCTACTACACAACGTTAAAAATATTCTTATAAGTAGAGTCGATCATGGTGAGACTATAATTTATGAACGAACCAATCAGATATAAGAGAACAGGTCTTGAATTTCGCATCGAAATTCATTCATCTATTTGGCTAAATAGCGTTTTGACATTCTAGCTAATGTTAGCTCGTGATGAAAACCACCAACTGTATATCACAATTCTAATTCCTTATACTGCTTTTCAACCATTATATAGTCCTAGTTATAGATGAAATGTGGCTAGGGTAGGAATCTTAGTTATTTCCCTTGTCCTTTTTGAGACCTGTCAACTGAAGGTACATGCATCTCACATTGAGAGAATTTGTCGGGGTTTGAGATGCAGGTACATCCATATGACGAGTCCTAAATATGACGAAACGCACGTCCTGAATTCCACTGCTACACGCTATCCATCTTTGCTTATTAATTATGATTATTATCTTAAAGAAGATCAGCCTTCTCGGGGAAGAGTTGGAATTATTTAAATTTAAGTCACTGGGATTATTTCAGATATGTTTTTAAACATAATGTCTTGAATATACTTGAAACCCAGTTTCTGTCAAACTATTCAGGTTTGCATTCGATACCCGGTGGTAATTTTGTGGACACACTACTGAGAGGTTCGGTACTATGAAAAACAACTATTATGTGTTTCCAGGTTTACAATGTTTGTCTTACTTAGATTTGTTCGTTACTTGACCAAAGATCGATAATCTCAGCAACCTCGTAATTGATACTTTTTACACCTTGTCTAGTGTTAGTGTAGGATACTACTATTTTGGTCAAAGTAATTTTGCCCAAAAGAAATGATAACCTATTTTCTCTCTGAAGCCGTTTTTATGGAGCAGAAGATGGTATAAGTTTTGAGAATGTCGTTGAGATCGTAAGCTTATCTAAGTTAGGCAACTACTGAAGACATGAGGTCACTTAAGAGACATTTCTTTCTAGTATGGGACTCCTCAATAGTGTACATTCATGATCCCGTAGCTGAGAACCTAAACCAGGACCTTTGCTATCACGTGCTAACTCCGAATTTCTAGACCACTGAGTCGGGACCCAATTTTGTACAAGTCTAAATTTAGACAACGTGACTATGTCACAACCACATGGGTTATTCTAGCTTCCAGAAAGACCAGTTTGTTCATTCGTCTTGAGTCATATTTTTACCTTGTCAATCATTTGCTTACTAACCTTGACTGTTTGTACATGGGCGTGAGTTAATCTCTTACTCTACTCACAACATATCTGTAATATATTTTTGTCTGACTATAAATATCCATTCACGTTTGTTAAATGGAGTTGGCTTACTTGCCTTTTTCACTTCGCATCATTTCATTTCGCTTCGCTTTTTCTATTTCGTTTTTCTGATCGTCTGTCTGCATCAACAGTTGTATGAAATATACGTATTCATAATCCATTCCCGTATTTGACTTATGTTTTATTCTGTAATTCCCTGACGCGTGATAAATCAATGCTAATATACAAGTATTGGTGGAATGTATATTTTGACAATAATCGTCATACGATATGAGAGGAGTTAAATATCGGGCCATTAAAAATGTACTTCGTTTAGAAGTGACATATCAACAGAAAAACAAATGTCCTGTTATCGGAATTAACCAGACAAATCGCTACACTAACTAAGAATGGCTATGCACCGCCATCCACTGAATCGGGAAAGAGCTATCAATTTGTCAATTTTCACGGTGTTCGGGCCGGGCGAGTTTTCCCATGCTGAGTCGAAATAAACTGCGGGCTCCACTCCTGGTGGTGTCCATCAGCCAATTCTTTTAAGCTTCAGCTTTGCAACCATACTCCCCCGGAGCCCAAAGATTGCTCGCGATGTCAATTATAGAATCAACGCGGATCGTCAGTCGGCATCGTTTATGGTCAGAACCACGATGGTATTTGATCGTCTCCGAAACTCTGACGTTTGCTCCTGATCAATTAAAACATTCTTGGTAAGCGCTTTCGCTGTAGTTTGTCTGGCGTTGATCCCAGAATTTCACCTCTAACACTGCCATACAAATGCTCCCGTCTGTCTCTCTTAACCATTACTTCGGATCGAAAAACCAACAAAACAGAAGCGAAGTCCTATTTCATTACTTCATGAAGAAATTTTCAGGCGCATAGACCTACTTTAAGCACTCAAATATGCCATCCGCTTTCGACACCCGTTTAAAAGCATCCGAAAGCATGCCAACAGATCAACAAGACGAAATCGTCAACCCACCCACTAGAAACGACTGAAAGGCTGCACAGTCACTACGATGGGATGAACACGTCCTGATCTTAACCAAAATCGTGAACAAACAGCGGAATGCGAACGCACGATCCAGACCCAACTACGAGTCCAGTACTTCCTAGTTTTCATTGGTTGTTTAACTAAGATTAATCTTTGATGTGAATTATGTAATTTTAAGAACAGTTTAATTCACTATTTAATTCTTTATATATATATTTTAACAAAAATGCAGCTTGTAAATAAACTGTACTGAATTTACATTCACTTGTTATAGTTTGTTTGAAACTTCCTATTGATTTTTAGGACTGCAATTGATCAGTCTCTTATTAGCATACATACTGTGTGTATTGCCTCGATATAACCCTATACACACACTATGCACATATGCCAATAAGAGATTAACCAATTGCAGTCCTAAACATCAATGGGAAGATTCAAATAACAATATCAAGTGACTTTAAACTTCACCCCATTTCACAAGCAAGTAACTATGATGACTAAGTAGTGGCGTAGATAACCTGATGGTGTTTGAAGTGAACGATACTGGGTTCGTGTTGCAGAGTGAACATCAGTTCTGATGATACAGGAACATTCAGCTGATGAGTTCCAAGTATGACCACCACCACCACCACCACCGCCACTACTACTACTACTACTACTACTACTACTACTACTACTACTACCACTACTACTACTACTACTACTACTACTACTACTACTACTACTACTCACGATCCATCCTTGCATATAATGTATTGAAGTTAGTTTAAATAAATATGTATTTTTGTGATAGTGAATGAACATAAAAAGAGAACGAGAAGAAGAAGAAGAAGAAGTAGAAAAAGAAGAAACATAAACATTGTGGTTGTTTTTTGTTTACTTCAAATCAAATATTGTTTTAATAACATAACTAATTTAATTGTATAATTGAATCATAATAAAATAAATATGAATATTAATCTAATATTTCATTATGTCAATTTATTTTAATCGTAATTGTTTCATTGATTTTGTTCGAACTAGAAAATAGATTAATGCAGCAATAGCAATAGTTAATAGAATAGCAGCAAATACAATTAATGCAATTGTTCCAGGATGTACTTGTTGAAAAAAAGGAACAGAGAAAAATAAAATAAAACATGAGAAAATTAAAAAATAAAAAAGAAGAAGAAAGAATTAGTTTATTCAATGAAGAAATGCTAAGAGTATAATTTATGAATGAACCAATCAGATCATAAGAGAATAGATCTTGAATTTTAATGTGAATTAATTCATTCATCGATTTGGTTAAATAGAGTTTTGACATTTTTTGCTATTTATATTTATTTATTTATTTGAATACATAAATATTGGTACAATGAGGAACACTGAATACATATACACCACACAAGTTACTTGATTTGTGTGTAGGCTGTGATACTGTTCGGGTGCTCAGATCAAAGCAGATGGTTTCCTTAGAGGGCCATACCCGGAGCCTTTGACCTAAAGGTCTGATCTATATGGTAGTGGAGCAACATCAGGAGATTCAGTCCCATGGTAGCGGATGATTAATAATTGGTTCATTCGCCATTTGTTCTTTCAGGATCATGGAGCGCATGTGCACAACTGGTTTGGAATGAGAGTTTTCCAACTTCTCTAGGTGGACTTTCCATGTCCACCAATCCGGTTAAAGCGCCGGACATTCGATTCTCGTCCTCTCAATTTCCTAAACAATACCCCTACCGTGAGAGGGCAGTGAGTAGGACTTCGCTGGCAGTGGCTGCATACGCGTGACTATGTGAGAGCATTTGGAGAGAGAGAGAGGGCTGACTCTCCTCACTCTCACCCGTACCAGAACATTTGGTGGCTTGATATTTTAGCTGATACCAGTAAGTAGTGGAAAGCCTAAATCTAACGCTTAACTATAACCATCAACTGTAAATCATAATTTCTAATTCCTCACACTTTTTTATAATCATCATTTAGTCCTAGTTAGTAGCTGGACATTCTCAAAGTCATTTTAGCGTTCCTTAAGGTGGTCCATAAATTATAGTCTCACCAAATAAATAAAGTGTAAAATGAATAGTATAAAAATGGTAGAATGCATACATCATTAGTTACAAGGATTTTTTTGCTCAATAAATAATGTCCAGAAACCATATCATTCATTAGTCATTTTAAACTTGCTACAGATCTTATTAACTGTAATAAAATAACCTAGTTGGAAGTTAATAGTTCACTATAACTGATCTTATAATAATGTGTATGTGAAGTAGCAGATCACAAATTAAGATACTTTACTTTCAATTACTAAATCTCAGTTTCGACTTCCATTCCATCTAATTTTATTTCAGTAACCTGAGTATTATCATTGACTCTTACGCTAAGATGGTGGCTTGAAACCAAGTAAGCAAATTTCTGCCCAGTAAATGACTTACTAAATGGATACACATAATTCGCTCACTGAAATATCGAACTAACCAACCAAGAAATATCTTCTTCGTTTACATTTATCTCAATCAATATTACTGATCAACTTGGTACAATTTAGTCATTTAAATGTTTGAAATAAACGAAAATGTCTATTATGCAACTAAAAAGTAAATTTAAGATGATCCCTAAGCTTAATTACAAAACAAACCTGATCATTAAACAGAATGTATGTTAAAGTACTTGATATGATTCAATCCTTGACCAGGAGTACTTCATGAACCTGAATAATTTTCTCTCATTGTAATCTTTACATTTAATTTCAACCCCAAGTTTCCCAAATTGGCATACAAAAGAATTATAAACTATTACATTATAGTTGCTGTTAGTTCATGACGAAAACCTTAACCTTAATGATATGTAGGTGAGGAAGATAATGATTAGTTGTTTCCTGATTAAGACTCGTAAATACTCTGATAGGTACTAGATGAGTTATGTATTCTTCTACCCTTATTATGATTGTGATTGTTGTCGGTTACTAATGTGCAAATATATATATATATATATATATATATATATAATCACGTGTTCTTGATCTGAGTTGTGCTGAAGTTCTGTAGAATAGACGCTGGTAGGATATCTAGTGTAGATATTCGTCTAAGGTAAATTAGCATTTCATTCGTGTAGACGAGGAAGACCGAGCATTATAATGCTTAATTTGTAAACCTTTATCAAAACTCCAGCTTAACTCTAAATACCTAACCCTAACTATTTTACATTATCGCTAGCGTTAGTTGGTAACGAAAACACTATGGGGTAATAACCCTAGCTCATATAAATAATTGACTGTTTCATCCTATTAGCAGTTTAATTTGTTATCAGTTAAACTAATTAGATTATATACAAACATTTTTATCCTATCACTAGCTAAGCAATTGGTATGTTCAGTGGAAGATAAAGAAAGAAGTACTATGAAGAACAGAAATGGATTTCTTTGTAGAAATTTGTTTTGGCATGATACTCTTCAAGCTACTGTTCTTAAGTAGTATTGTTTTTTTTACAAGTGAAGTTACTTTCTGTTCAATTGTATCTATCACTTACGTAAGATTCATCGTTAAAGTGATTGATGTCAAACTACTAGGTAACCTTTGTAAATTATAGCTAACACAATACAAAATATCACAATCAGAATACTTAATATCAAGCTATAAATACAATAAAACAAATTAGGAACATAATGGTATATAAAAAACTATATACTATTGTTGAGTCGGCTTTCCGAGAACTGCAATGGAGCCTCCAGAGGCCCTAGAAGAGTCGAAGAGTCCTAGACAATCAGAGCATGATGGAGCTTTCTAGAATGTCAACGTGGCGTGCTACTATTGGTCAGTGGCACAATATGTTTTTTAGCGGATCGGCTAAAATATGATGTTGATTTATTAAATGTTAACATCTATAAATACCCGTGTTTTTCTGTACAAAAACAAACCTTGGAGTAAAGTATTTCTTGCATACTTTGCGTCTTCTCTCTTGTGTTCAGGTCGCTGTATAGTTCTAGCTTGAGGGTTACAGAATAGCTTAGGAAAGGAATATAGCATTCAATTCGCAACTATAATACATATAGTGTATTGGGGAAAAACATTTTGAAACATACGTGTACAATTTTTTCCTGGATCATCTGGATTTACATCTTTCCACATTGGATCACATGTACATGTGACACCGTTGTCAGTATTTCGACATGATGCATGTTCACCACAAAGTGATCGAGTTTGTGAACATGTAATAGTTGGTGAAATCCCTGTGAAAACAGAAAAAACAACAACATAACGTTTTAAAGAAAATTAGCTCAAGAGTTAAGTATGATCAAAATTATTCGATAAATTAAGGGTGTTGGAAGTATAGATAGAAGAAAATAGGCAGAAAACAGTAATGTGTTTGTAAGAAGAATATGTATTGGTTTAATTCATTACGATTCTTTTCATCAGAAAAATATCCTGGATTATTTTTTATGTTGGTTAGTAACTGAAAACAGAACCTGAGTTTCATCCTATTCATGTCTTATCTGTTGGATGGATCTAAACTGAAGGTGGGTATGAACTCGATGCCTATCACTGCAAACATGAATGAATTATTCAGTATGTTATAAAGTCTTAAAATCAAGTAGTCCTTTAAAAATTATGACTAATATATTGTCTTAATAAAGCTGTCTAGAAAGAAGATGTGTGAAGCACGAAAACATTGTACTACTCAAAAGTAAATATCTGTAACTCCAAGAGAGTTCGAACATAGGATCATCTGGTCTCGTACGAAGTGCTCGGTCTTCGAACTAGTGAGCTGAGATACAGTTTCTTAGTGCAGTATACTGCAGGGTCGCCGTGAATCGTAGATTTGCATTGCTGAGCAGTCTCATACTACGACGAAACAACCTTACTGCGGTTCATGGTTTCTAATGGTTGTTGTTCAACAATCATCTAAAACCTTTCACATTGAAGTTCATTTTTATTTGATGGTCATGCTAGCTAACATTACCCGTATTTCTTAATTGTTTGTAACGTCATGAGATAACAGTTTAATAAGTGGCAGAAAAACCTTACACCATAAAAGTTTGAAATATAACAAAAACCTTAGGATTTAAACAAACAAGCCTGTTGATTTGGAAAGCAGACTCCTCATCAATGTGGTAACAAGGATGGTGTTGATGACACATAAATTGCTTGATGACTTGAACATCTTAAAATCTCTTATCACTAAGCAGGACTGACTAGTTCATATTTTTGACCTACTACTATTGTTATTCATTATTTGTTAAGTTAATTTTGTTTTATGGAGAAAATGAACGAACCGACTTATTATTTGCTATCATTGGATGATATCACCATCTGATCAATTTAGCTAAAATTAATTTCCAGTGTTACCTAGATCACTGTTAAAAATATTTACACATCTATTTATCTATCTAATGCTGTAATTCTCAGTTTTTTGCATATACTATAGATCAGTTTTAAATAACTAGCTTTATCACTGAGTAGTCACATGCTAGGACAACATAACTAACGCATATTTCTTGACTTTCAACAGTTACCGGGTTAAAGTGAGTACGTAATTCAAACCATAAAACTCAACAATCTTCATAAACTTCTGGTATTGATCACATGGGTTAATTATAAAGCTACAGATCACTATTTACATATGAGCTGGAATTTCAGCGCTTAAACACATATAAGCACAAGCAAGTGGCTATCAGGATTCAGTAATTAAGTGGATAACGCGATAGAGTTTGAAGCGAACGGTACCGGGTTCGAGTCCTAGAGTGAACATCAACTGTGAGATACAGGTACATCCAGCTAACGAGTCATAAATAGGAGGAAACGCGCGTCCTGGATTCCACTGCTAGCCACTGTTCATCTTTGAAATACTTGTGAATTACTATGGTATCGAGGCAATACGCACAGTATACACATATGCCAATAACAGAGTGATCAGTTGCAATCCTAAACATCAAAGGGATGTTTCAATTAAACAATACCAAATTGAATTAGGCACATAATATTACATACGTGTTGTATCAATGCCGGTTAGATAATTTCCACTTGATAAATTAAGCTTTTGATAACCACTTAATAATATTTGTGAAAATTGCGCTTGATTTAACTGTGAACCAGCTAATGTTTGTAATTCAGTTTGTGCATTTCCTTGAACAGCATCAGTTGTAATATTGTTAGAGTTTTGAATTTGTCGTTTAGAAGGTGAATTTAGTGTAGTTCGAATGAATCCAATTAATGTACAAGTTGCTCCACGAGTTATTTGTGTATTTTGTGCTAGTAAACTCTGCACTAGCTTAAATTGTATTGAAGAGAGTGAAAAATATGATTTAATATACATAAAATAGTACATCATTGCTACTCATTAGGGAAAAACTATAAATATTTTGGTTATACAACACTTATAAGTATGTAATAATAATGGGTATGATAGATTTGACAATTTTTGTCAAAATATTGAAAAGTTTGTAGCTAAACGATAATGATTTATTAGTTGAAATCATGAATCAATTGAAGCTAGACCACCATGGAAAACCTGGTAGCACCGGATGGCCGTTTCGTCCTAGTTTAGGAATCCTCAGCAGTGCAAATCCACGATCCCTCCCGCGAGATAGGAACCCAGGAACTATCTATCTCGCGCGCCAGCACTTAACCATTAGACCACTGAGCCGTCATCTAAAGGTGTTAATGTTTAACTTCAACCAATCCACGAAACTCAGCCACCGTAAACCACCGTCTTCGGTGAGCTGTTTGAAGAGAGTATTACGAAATATCATAACAGTTTTAGATACTTTTCGGGCCCATCTAATCGTTCTAGTAAGATTTACGCTTACATCTCCTAGTATAAAAGTCGGAGACGTTATTTTTGAGGTATGCGTATCATTTCTGACTGTTAGACTGGGTGATAAAAGTTCAAATCCCGCGGAGAATATAATTCCTTTTAAGATTGTAAGTATGTCTAAGTGTTCAGTAACAACTAGCAGAGCGTCTTGTCGACTATATTCAATTATTTAACATCTGTTAAACTTTTGTTTCGACATATGTGTTAGGTGATGTATTCATGAGTTTTGCATTTCGTATATTCTGAACATAATTATGACTGTAATTTGTAACAAAATTATACACCATGTTCGCTTTCTGAATTGATAGAATTGAAGTAAAAAAAATGACACATACCAAGGAACAGTAGTTTGTAGCCAAGGTTTTATAAGCACTCGTTGTTTTATCGGCATAATCATTTGACCATGGAACATACCTGCCAGTAGTGATAGCGTATATAATTGCTTTGACTTGAAACGCTGTAGTTACTAGACAAATAAAACAAGACGTTATTGAAAAAAATAAAGATTAAGTAATTTATTATGTTTATTTAAAGGAGTATTTTTCAAGATTAACATAACTTTTGAACAGTACTATTCATGAATTAACTTCATTCAGAGTATCATTGTAAACCGGGAAGAACTAGACAGGTATTTATTGCTTGTATCGAACTAATCGGTAGTACTCACTCACTACCCAACTAGGGATTGTATTGCGAAACTTCATGATGTAGTGAGAACGCTTGATCATTAAAGCCACTAGAACAATCACCAACGGTGGAATTCCTAATACTCAATAGTCTAATGCTAGAATGAAGTAGTTATCGAGTGTCTTTTGGAAACCAATGGTATCCGGAATGAGGTAACGCTGTGACGAATACTGTCTGATTTGTTACGCGTCACTTCATGGTTTTACGATGAATCTTCATAAAGCATTGTTCGATAAAATGAATATTCTATCACAAATGTGGATTATATTTTGTAATTCAAATATCAAGAAACACAATGAATGTTGGCGTAATAGAGGGTTACAATATGATGAACGCATAAATGATCTTTTCTAAAACCAGGTTCCACAGTCTGATGATCATGTGGGATTCCAACAGATTAAACCCAATCACTAGTAAACTTAACATTTCTAACTCCCATTTTAAGGATAGTAGCGTCAGTCGTTTCATTCCAATACACTAAAGCACCATTCGAAACAATCCATCATTTTGGTGACCAGGGGTTTGTCATCAGTCTTAAGAAGAATCAGTTTTAGTGAATTATGGAGCTTTAGGAGAAAGAATTTACACAAATCGTATCGTGGATCAAACTGATATCCACGTATTATAGAGTAAAACGTACGATTGACCAACTGACTTTCTATTGTTAAAATAAAAGAAAAGGATGCTGATTAATAGATGATCAAGGCCATTTGATGATACAAAGTAGCTTGATGACATTTGCCTACCAAACAGAATTATTGATGCTGGCAGCCAAATCATCCAAGGCAATGCCACTAGCCAGAAGGAAAAACATTTATTGTCAAGTAACATGCCTGTATACAAACTATTAACAACAAAGCAACTTAATTCAATTTCATGAATCATTGGAAAATATTGATGTCGTAGTTCTTTCACTCCGCCATAAAATTAAATCCTAATTGTTAGGACAAATTGTAGCCTTTCACATTACAATCACTGTACTAGTAACACAGGAAAGACAGTTTTATGAATCAAAACAAATAAAACTTACCTCTATTAACATAGGTTGTCATAGTAGTTGTCGTTTCAATGGTAGTCAACGTCGAAGCGTTTGTAAATAAATTAGTGACCGATTGCGTTGATTGACTCAAGAATGTAGAGGTTATTTCAGTTAGTTTATCAGTAGATGCTTTAGTCGTTAATACTGACAAGGTTGTGGATGCATTGAAATCCATTACATATGTGCTTGTTGTGAATGAAGTGTTATTGACACTAATTGTACTACTTTCTTTAACTGTTCCCGTTGTATCTGTAGGATGAATTTAGAAGTGGAGGAAAATCGAATTGTTGATATTTGAATTTAATAAATTTATAAAAAATTTCCAGTCAAGTCACTTGACAGTCAATGGAAATATTATAGATGGCACAAAATTTCATCCATTAGGAAAATCTGAAACTTAAATATAAGGTCAGCGGAGACATAACGGCACAAGAAGGAGTGAACAATTAAATAAAAAATAATAAAAAATTCCAAACATTTTTTTCAGGGAAATAATCAGGTAAGCTATCAAAAGAGCTCGGAACATTCACAATAATTCAAATTGCAACTACTAATAAAAAATTGCAAAGGAACCTATCACAAAATTAGAGAGCAGAATCAAACAGAGAGAATCAGAAGGTTGACACGAAAATAAGGATATCAGTGAAGAAAGAATAACAGCGAGGGTTGTTGCTGTTGAAGTGGATGCGTAAGGAATCAACAGGTATGCTGCTAGAACGCGATCAGTAGTAGATAACGAAAATGTCCAGTAGATAAAGACGGTGAACAGTTAAAAAAATCCGTTGTGCACATTTGCGCAATTGTGGCGGACGTAACTTTTAAAAAGAAATTTGAGTGTAGAATTAACCAACTGTTTGGCATTGTTTGTTATTCTCTACATCTAACTATGAGTGATTAATTATCAGTCGTGGTGATAGTAGCGTGTTCAAAATGATTCCAGCTTCCCATACCTGTCACTAATCTGTTACCGAAAAATATGAGTACAAATAATAGTGTATGCTTTTCAATATTGGAGTGAGCATGTGTTCTATTTTTTCGGAAGTGATCCTCATATCGAATTCCCAAATTGCTGTCAAATTTTAAAATGAATTCCTATAATTTATGTAGCACACTTTGTGGTTCTCGGAATGCAGTGAACTTGTATATATTTAAATAGTGCTACATTGTTGAATTCGATCTACATGGTCTGAAGTTTCGTTGAGTGTAAGATTTATATTGTGACCACAATCAAATCTTTGTTAGATAACTAGTGGGAATCAGGAAGCACTGGACAATTGTTTTGTCCTAGTACGGACCTCTCCAACAGTAAACATCAACGTGTTCATCGACAATTGAACTCGAGACACTCAGTTGTTGAGACGAGTATTCAACATGTGGACCACTGAACCGGTTCACATTTCCAACTTCGGTCGATCACAGATATTACGCAACCATCAGCTTCCATGGTCCTCGTTTTACAATCACATTGCACTAAACACGATTTAACTGCATTCATCTCAACCTACTGGAATTCTAGCAACAAAACAGCAGTCCGTTTCCACCTACTTTTCATCTGTTCTCTCATTCAGGTCAATTCACAATATCAGCAACACTCAACAACCTCCACGAACAACCTCCCTATACTCTATGACTTTGTTAGGCCTGTAAAAATATCAGTCTTATTCAGTTCTTCTTTATCTATTGAGTGAAGTGATCAGACCATGATAGAAAACGCCACTTATTCCAAACGCTGTGAAATGATGGGTTAAAAGTAAATAAAGTGTTTCATTAATTTAGGTAAGAAAATTCAAAGTAACTGGAATATACACCGTAACAATGTGAGACCTTAAAATACACTAAAACACATTCTATTTAATATTGGTATTCATTACGAATCCACCAACAGATGGGTGGGTTTTCATTCAGTCGGTTTGTTTGACTAGCTACATTATAAGACAATTCTTCACCCTATTGTAAAAACATCACAAAACAAACCCGCTTTAACACTTTACTTCATTATGGAAAACAACATGCACATCAGCTGATATAACAGCAGAATAAAGATATTCTCCTTTACCACAGTATATACTAATCTACTATGATCATGAATCCTGTGTCTAGACTGTACGGCCACTAGACTAAATGCTTGGTTGATGCACTATAGACAGACTGGGATCACATTATTCTGGATACACGATTCGCGACCAAATACAGGAAACCAGAATATTGTCTAGGAAATGCTTTGTTCAACACAACTACAAACAGTCTACACTCAGTGACTTCAGAGTAGAAATCGATCACAGAAAAGAAATCACCTATTAAATAGAAAGTAAGCTGAGTGTCAGTCGACGCTCAACAACCCGTCACATTTTACTCTCAAAAGCAACACGTAACGAGCACATGGAAAGATCTGACAATTCGGTCGATTTATATAACTAATACAACCACAGTCATTGAGTGATCTATAAACAATAAAATGTTTTGCTCACTTGTGCCTACAGTACTTGATGTTGTGGTGTTAGTTGAAGCTGATGTTGTCCCCACAGACTCTGTCGGTTGACTCGAAAGTGTGGATGTCAGTGAAGTTTGATTACCAGTGAGTGTTGTTGGTGTTGACGTGGATGTGCTCACTTGTGGAACTGTTGCGGAGGTATCTTTCAAACAAAAATCAGAGTGTAGAATTAACCAACTGTTTGGCATTGTTTGTTATTCTCTACATCTAACTATGAGTGATTAATTATCAGTCGTGGTGATAGTAGCGTGTTCAAAATGATTCCAGCTTCCCATACCTGTCACTAATCTGTTACCGAAAAATATGAGTACAAATAATAGTGTATGCTTTTCAATATTGGAGTGAGCATGTGTTCTATTTTTTCGGAAGTGATCCTCATATCGAATTCCCAAATTGCTGTCAAATTTTAAAATGAATTCCTATAATTTATGTAGCACACTTTGTGGTTCTCGGAATGCAGTGAACTTGTATATATTTAAATAGTGCTACATTGTTGAATTCGATCTACATGGTCTGAAGTTTCGTTGAGTGTAAGATTTATATTGTGACCACAATCAAATCTTTGTTAGATAACTAGTGGGAATCAGGAAGCACTGGACAATTGTTTTGTCCTAGTACGGACCTCTCCAACAGTAAACATCAACGTGTTCATCGACAATTGAACTCGAGACACTCAGTTGTTGAGACGAGTATTCAACATGTGGACCACTGAACCGGTTCACATTTCCAACTTCGGTCGATCACAGATATTACGCAACCATCAGCTTCCATGGTCCTCGTTTTACAATCACATTGCACTAAACACGATTTAACTGCATTCATCTCAACCTACTGGAATTCTAGCAACAAAACAGCAGTCCGTTTCCACCTACTTTTCATCTGTTCTCTCATTCAGGTCAATTCACAATATCAGCAACACTCAACAACCTCCACGAACAACCTCCCTATACTCTATGACTTTGTTAGGCCTGTAAAAATATCAGTCTTATTCAGTTCTTCTTTATCTATTGAGTGAAGTGATCAGACCATGATAGAAAACGCCACTTATTCCAAACGCTGTGAAATGATGGGTTAAAAGTAAATAAAGTGTTTCATTAATTTAGGTAAGAAAATTCAAAGTAACTGGAATATACACCGTAACAATGTGAGACCTTAAAATACACTAAAACACATTCTATTTAATATTGGTATTCATTACGAATCCACCAACAGATGGGTGGGTTTTCATTCAGTCGGTTTGTTTGACTAGCTACATTATAAGACAATTCTTCACCCTATTGTAAAAACATCACAAAACAAACCCGCTTTAACACTTTACTTCATTATGGAAAACAACATGCACATCAGCTGATATAACAGCAGAATAAAGATATTCTCCTTTACCACAGTATATACTAATCTACTATGATCATGAATCCTGTGTCTAGACTGTACGGCCACTAGACTAAATGCTTGGTTGATGCACTATAGACAGACTGGGATCACATTATTCTGGATACACGATTCGCGACCAAATACAGGAAACCAGAATATTGTCTAGGAAATGCTTTGTTCAACACAACTACAAACAGTCTACACTCAGTGACTTCAGAGTAGAAATCGATCACAGAAAAGAAATCACCTATTAAATAGAAAGTAAGCTGAGTGTCAGTCGACGCTCAACAACCCGTCACATTTTACTCTCAAAAGCAACACGTAACGAGCACATGGAAAGATCTGACAATTCGGTCGATTTATATAACTAATACAACCACAGTCATTGAGTGATCTATAAACAATAAAATGTTTTGCTCACTTGTGCCTACAGTACTTGATGTTGTGGTGTTAGTTGAAGCTGATGTTGTCCCCACAGACTCTGTCGGTTGACTCGAAAGTGTGGATGTCAGTGAAGTTTGATTACCAGTGAGTGTTGTTGGTGTTGACGTGGATGTGCTCACTTGTGGAACTGTTGCGGAGGTATCTTTCAAACAAAAATCAGAGTGTAGAATTAACCAACTGTTTGGCATTGTTTGTTATTCTCTACATCTAACTATGAGTGATTAATTATCAGTCGTGGTGATAGTAGCGTGTTCAAAATGATTCCAGCTTCCCATACCTGTCACTAATCTGTTACCGAAAAATATGAGTACAAATAATAGTGTATGCTTTTCAATATTGGAGTGAGCATGTGTTCTATTTTTTCGGAAGTGATCCTCATATCGAATTCCCAAATTGCTGTCAAATTTTAAAATGAATTCCTATAATTTATGTAGCACACTTTGTGGTTCTCGGAATGCAGTGAACTTGTATATATTTAAATAGTGCTACATTGTTGAATTCGATCTACATGGTCTGAAGTTTCGTTGAGTGTAAGATTTATATTGTGACCACAATCAAATCTTTGTTAGACAACTAGTGGGAATCAGGAAGCACTGGACAATTGTTTTGTCCTAGTACGGACCTCTCCAACAGTAAACATCAACGTGTTCATCGACAATTGAACTCGAGACACTCAGTTGTTGAGACGAGTATTCAACATGTGGACCACTGAACCGGTTCACATTTCCAACTTCGGTCGATCACAGATATTACGCAACCATCAGCTTCCATGGTCCTCGTTTTACAATCACATTGCACTAAACACGATTTAACTGCATTCATCTCAACCTACTGGAATTCTAGCAACAAAACAGCAGTCCGTTTCC